TATATATATATAGTCTAACTCTATTGTATTTTAGATGTTTTTTCATTGGTCCCTTATGCATATTTTAAACCGTTGCTAATGAATAATATCCTATTGTTCTCTAAAATCCAGAGATTTTCTGGTTTAAACTTCTTATTTTTAGTAACGTACTCAGTATTCACTACAACACGATAGGTAGGGCCAAACATCATTCCTTAATGAGTTTCCTGACGCGAAACTCTTTTCGAAATTGCTTTCATACTGTTTTACCATCAAACTCGAAGTTATTTTGAATTTTTGTTGATAACATCCACTTCTGGGTAGCTAGGTATGACGGTGTCATCGTATTGATTGCCCAAATTGACCATATGGCCACTGAACCACATTTCACGCTCGGGTTCATTTGTCTGCAATAAACGAACACATCAAATCAAAGATTAGATTTTTAGTTATGTTAAATGTGTTTTTTTTTTTAAAGTTATGATCTATAACAATAAAGACAGCACAGACAAATTAACTTAAATCATAATACCATAAGCGTAAAAATATCAATATTGCTCTTACGTGGATCTGATAATCTTGCGACTCTCTGTTGAAATCCCCCTCAAAGGCAAACGGTATACACTCATCATCAATAGCGATCTGTGATTCCAAAACAATGCTACCGTTTTCAGTATTATTTGTGACAGAGCAGACAAGTTTACCATCTATGGTACTGAATACGTTTTGTGCCTCCATTCCTAAAGTGTAGTCACTGCTGTACTGATCTACGGTTTTGTTAGATAGATCAAAACTAAAATTGATGTCCTCATTTCTGTCGTTGCTGTACGATACATTCAGATCAGTGCTGACTAGAGTATCACCGCCAAATAATGTTCCACCTCCGTTAATTATGATATCCTGTATAGATAAGTAATTCATAGACAAATCTTAATAATTGCTTTTGTAGAACACTGATGAATTGTGTCATAATAAATTTAGCATTCCATTTGTTTGTGGCGCATCTAACTCCGACTGATAGTTTATATCATGTTTTAATGAAGACTTTATACAGCTGCAGTGCCCAGTGAAACACGTATGTGTTATCAGGGAATAGCACAGAGCCGAGAAGAGTTTATATTTAGAGTTAATTGATATTTGTCAAGATCATGCGAGTACGCGTGACATCTTCTCTTATTTAATAGTAAAAAGTCTGTGTGCATGTCTTTTGTCCACGTGTAAGAAAGTTGAGGGGTGACCCTGTCACTATTTTTGGTGGGGAACAGTTGGATTACGCTATATCATTTCCCTACTTTGGTCATGTACTCACTAGTGATGCGACTGATATGCTGATATACTCGTCAATATAGGTCGCTATGTATGCGCGCCAACTCTCTGAAGAGGAATATTATAAGTGTACGTACGATGTAAAGTGCACGTTGTTCAAGTTTCTGTATGAAATTTTATTGTGTAAATTCATGGTCGAACTATAAAAGCAAGTCAATAAATTCGTTAAGAGTTTTTTTTTTTTAAATAACAACGGTTTAAGGTTATGGCTTGGTAAGCCCAGGGCAAGCAGTGCAATTGCAATGCTTGTTACGTGCGGGCTAATTTCATTTTACAAATTTGTAAGAAAATCAGTTTATTCTTTCATGAAAATGATATATGCTTCTGACAACAGCCTGGTTAAAGGTGTTGTTAAGTCAGTATTGAATTACTCGACTATGTTATCAAAGTAGATAACACTTTTGCGTTGAGCAGATTTTATTGCTGTATACAGTTTGTTATTTATGCTTTCTTCTTTATATTTGTTTTGGATGAAATTCCGAAATAAAAGTTGATTGATTGATTGATAGATATCACAGAAGCAAGTCGAGCTATATCATATATATTTAAGTGAGATCTTTCATTTTTAGAGTCAAAATGTTAGGTGAATCGAAAGTCCCGAAGTAGGCGTATGTTTACTTACGTGTTCATCTGGCCTGGATATGATCACTTCAGCCTTGTGGTTTATCTTTTTATCATTTGTTTTATTTGTGTATTTGCTTGCTATGGTAGTTGTTAATCCATTTCCGACGTACATGATCTGCAACAATAAAAAAAATATCATTTAGGCCTATAAGTAACGAATATGTGTTTATCAATACATTTAATACTATATATTGAATTTCGAAATATTATTTTATGTATTAGCTATATTATCCTTACTTTGAAAGAATGAAATGCACAAAAAGGCATAAGAAAGATTACAAAATAGAATGAAAAAAGCAAAAATGTCAAAAAAGGCAATTATGCATTTTATGTAGCAAATAAGTGAAAACTAACAAACATGATTGCTATTTGATTAGTACCTGTCCACAGGTATTAAAATAATTATAATTTGTAGCTGCCTATTGCACACGACAACCAAAACGTTGTTTTGACAATAATTAAAGTAATTATTATAAAAAATCTGACAAAAGTGCAGAAATAATAAACAATTATATATTTTTTTAAAATCTCTATTTTTTAATTTACTTGGTAGTCACAAAATTAATAGACAAGAGATTTCAAAAGATTGCTTGATTTTACGTCAGAATATTTCAAAGTCATTTAATGTTAGTAATTTCTATATTCCTCCACACAGTGTAATTTCACTAATAGTACCACATGTGACTAGGACTCATTTTGCAACAGTTGTTCTTCATTATAGCAAGTTAATAAAAGATTATCAATAAGGTCAACATTTATTGTACTAAAGGCATATTTATCAATAGAACTTTCAAGTATTCACCATTGAAGATCGTTCAATATCGTTGACCTCGTCACTAATATCCAATGAAATATCTTGAGGAATATTTTGTAAGCCATATGGGTGTTTGATACGAAGAGTTTGGTGATGGTAATTATTCATACCGAGGCTATGTTTCTCACTAAAACGATCGATACATATACTAGAATCCTCACTGAGATCACCGTACGATAACCGAACGCTTTGAGAAACATCTTCATTCTGGTTCTCACTTGTAAAGTTGAAGACAATATTTTCAAAGGGCTTTTCGTAGAGTTGTGGTAGCTTGCTCTTGAAGATGTATACAACTTTCCTGTCGTCCGATGTCGAATAAATCGTATTCATACTAGTCTCAAGATCGATCTATAAAAATTTAGTTTGCATAAGATAACATCTGAACTTAAAATTACAGCAGTTGTTTGTTTATTATATTAACTTAATTGTAAACTAAGCTTAGGAAAACATTTTGTCAATTCTGGGTCTTTGATCTTACGATTTGTATATTATTGGATTGGATTTATTCGGTGTAAACACCAAAGATAGCCCACGAAAGTCTAGAAGAAGACTTATTTCCAGTGGGGTCCTTCTGGTGGTGATTGGACAGTACACCGGGAGACAATCCCCTACTCTTTTCCGAAGAGTGTACTGTGTTCTTTAACGTGCACATGGGGCCGTAAATGCACACGGAACCAACGGCTTAAACGTCTCATCTGAAAGACGGTGCGTTATGTAACTTGTATTTCAGCCCTCTAGCTGAAATACAAGGAGAGACAGCGATGGGTATTGAACCGGGGACCAAGAGATCTGCACGGTTCAGCGCACACACAGTGGCTACCACCAGATTAGCCGACTGAGCTAAGCTGCTCTCTGATTGCAAATCATTATCAATACTAGTTGACCAAAGCCCACAAATACCGTAAAACCTTGATTCAAAGCACTGGGCTTTTTTTGTGAACTTTGGATGAGCTTCTTTTCGAGGCTACTTTTGCAAAGTAAAGAGGGGGCTTCTTTGCAAAATGAATGCTGTGTTTTTGTTACATTATAAAGCAATAAATAAAGCCACAACAACAACAATTTGTATCATGGATTGTATTTAACTGGCATTAAATCACTTAAACTACTGTATAAACGAAGGTTGTTTTTAATTTATTTTGTTTTTTGAAAATTTATGTACAGTCTATGTAATGTACTATTTCGAAAAAAAAGCCTATGATATAGTGTAGGCTTTTTTTAAAAGCTAATTTTGCAAGTTAAAGAGGGGCTTCAGTTCGAGATGGACTTCATCTCAAGATTAAGCCTAGTGAGCTTCAATTTGAGGTTTTACGGTATTGATTAAAGTGATGCTGAAGATTGAAAATAAGAATAAAATTAGTTTTACTTGCCTTTAGTTTTCCATTAGTTGAGATGTTAGTTCCAATGATGATGGATTCTTGGATACCCTTTTGGGAAAATATAAAGTCGGAATTTATGTCATAACCAGTAATATAGGTGTTAAGAACATTCATAGAAATATCATACTTTTTTTCAACTTCTGTGTTCAAGGAAACTAAGTTAAAGTCAACTTTTGCTGTCTGCTCACTAGCTTGTGACACTGTGAATCCAAAGCTTTTGTCAGAGTTATTATTGGTCCAAGTAGTTTTTAATTCGAGATCATGCTGGTCTTCAGAGAAATCGAATACCCATTTGAGATCCCTTTTGTTACCATTCTGCTTGACTTCATAGATTACTTCAGAATTTAAAACAGTACCATTGTTAAATGAGATTTCTAAATGAGGATTGTACTTTGTTTCTGTGTTTCTGTGAATGAAATCAACACCAATTGAACATTCTGGCGTAGTAGTATGCAATTCGACTGCTAGCATTTTCTGGTACTCTTGGCTTCTGTCATTGACGATCAATGTGTTTTTTATCATTTTGTCTGGGGCATATGTTACAAAGAATATAGACGTAACTGAAGATTCATGGAGAATGAATGAGCAATTAGCTGATATACTCTGGTTTGGAGCTTCAAGAGAGATAGTGAATTCATGTCCAACTTCTGTCTCGTCTTTTTTATTGTTGTTGTCAGGGGTGACAGCAAATTGTATGTCTTCCTGTCCTCCTGGTGTAAGGGTGACAGATGTTTCCATGAGTAAGGTAACATCTTCCAATGCCTTCAGTGAAGGAATCATGCAATTTAATGACAACTCCTTTTTCAGCTTTTGACTGTCGCTTGTGTCTTCTAGCGCCAACCCTACGAATACAGTTCTAATATCATTTTTCATTGCGGTTAATTCTGTATGTACTTCGCTGTTGCTTGTTTCAATGCTATATTCGACTATAACTAGGATCATTTCAGGCGTAGTGATGTATATGTTAATGTTATTCTTTGTGCATTCGTCAGTTTTCATTTTGCTCTTTTCCCAGGTAATATCTATTGTACTGGTACTACCAGCTATGGTCATAGTTGTAATAGCCGAAAATCGGTTTTCTGACACTTTGTTCCATGTCTGAGTAAGTTGGCTATTTCCAAATAGAGAGGTAACTTCAAATATTAAAGAGCCTCTTGGTAATTCTGTTGTTCCTTCAATTATCAAATTAAGCTTTGGTTTGAGAGAACGAATAGAGATAGAATCTCCATTAGGAGTTAAATAAAAATGGTCACTGTCTATAGTAAAATTAAATAAAGTTGGAGTTCTTGTCAAACTTTGGATTATACGATGCACTATGACATCTTTCCAGCGATCAGTGTATCGTATACTAAACTCAGTTTCCCTTTGCAGGCTGGTTCCTAAATTGGTTAAGTTAGAGTTGTGCTCAACTGTAATCAACTCGTCGGCTTGGCATTCATATCTACCGTAGCAAATGCGATGTGTGCTCTCAGAGTGAAGTACATTGTATTTCGTGCTTGAGTCGATTCGGAAATCTAACCGAGTATTCTGTGAGTAGTTCATACTGATCATACAATCGTAGGCGTTGTATTTCTGAAATTTTAAAGAAATGATCTTCTTGAAATTGTTGTTTTCTTAAAAAATTATATATATCAGTATCATTGTCAATAACGATCTAGGTGGACACATCACTCGAGTGGGTCTTAACTACATTAGTATGCACTCAATTAGTAGCATTATACATGTAATCAAAATAATGCATAGACATTTGTATACAATCGCATTACTTAGAAACAAATTTGTTTTACATATCGCCTCATTATTATACATTAAAATACAAAGAAAAGAATCTAATTCACCATTTTCATCAGCAGAGGAAATGTAGGCCTATTATATATGTTAAAATATACAAAGAACTACTTTAGATATAAGGTATACGAACGCATTGGTTTACTTGTAAACGCATTGACAAGTGCAAACGATACATACATAATGTAGCATGAACGTCTTACCTCGTCTGTGTTGTTGGTCAACTTCATTGTAAAATTTAGTGTTCGGCGGTATTGCTTGGGTGGTATATATTGAAAATTAATTGCTGTGGACATGACGTTATCCGTCTTAAAAACCTCTCCATCTATACTAGCATTGACAAGGCGACCACCAAGATTCAACTCAATGACGTATGTGAGCTTTTCTAAACCACTACTTCTTTGTACAGAGCCTGTCGCAAAGGTAGTTACACATCGTTAATATTCAAACTTTAGTCTTAAATATATTATTATTACATAATCATTTTTGTTCTTATTATTGTTATTGTTTTTAAATCTCTATTGCTATCGTTATCGTTTTCATTACTATTATTTGTTATTATGGTTATTAATATTGTTATTATTATTATTCAGTGCATTGGTCAGGTGTAAAATTACATTAAATGGTATTCCACCATAGCTAGGGTTAATCATTTATAGCCAAGCTCTGGATATGTGTACAACACTCAACAAACACCTAAGTATCCTGTTTAGTGCTAAACAGGTTTTCGGATGTAGAATACTAATAGCATTAAGTTAGCAAATTATTAGGAGAAATAAAGTTGTTAAAGTTGATTTTGTATGTGTTGTTTTTGTGATAATTTTGATTTGATTTGATTTCATTTATTTTGTCTCAATAAAATACATAAAAAACAACAACCGGTTACAATACAACAAAATAAAAGCATAAAAAAATCTGAAACAGGCCGAGACAGGATTCCTAAAAGTGAACCAAATCACTATCATGTAGGTCTCCTAATGCACTATTCCGATTACACATAAAATAATAAAAAAAATGAACAATTAAAATAATACTTAATATCTGTAAAATTTGCCTTAACAATAAATATATATATAGAAATTGTAAAACGTATTTAAAATATAATTTAAGATCATTTAAAAATGCTTTAAGATTAAAAACCAATAAATCCCTAGTTTCTACAGGTAGTTCCTCCCAAGCGCGTGGAAACAAATGAAACACAGAATATTTCAGAGAATTTGTTCGAGCATATTGATGTACAAATTTAAGATGATCACCGTGTCTTTAATAATATTAAAATCATAAAAGCCATGAAGACATTTCGCAATAAAAGAAATAGTAAGAAGCTTAAAACGTTTTTCAACTGAAATTAGACCGATAATGTCAAGACATTGTGCATATGTAAGTTTCCTCCCTTGTTTGGAACACAGGCTCGAGTCATCCTGCGTTGGACTTGTTCTAAAGAGTTTAGATGCCCCTTCTGATGCGGCAGCCATGCGGGGATGACGTACTCTATAATTGGACGAACTATTGCACAAAATAATTACGGAATTACAATTTCGCGATTCGTTTAATGAAACCCAGCAATTTAGAAGCCTTAGATCTCGTCTGCGAAACATGCAACCCCCAGTCCAATTTTGAAGTAAAATTTATTCCTATGTATTTATAAGAGCTAACCTGAGTCAGAGAGTTTAAACCAATATTATATACATGAGCACTATTTTGTAGCCTTGATGACCTAGTTATGCGCATCGACTTGCACTTTAATGAGTTAAGGAGCATCTTGTTAGTTATTCTCCAATTAAGAATAATATTCATGATGGATTGATAATATATTTGTTTAATGGAACCCGGGAAAACAAACACTAAATACAAAAAAAGTTACCGTATTAAACACTAGGGACGAACTCTTATAATATATTTAGTTTGACAAGAAGTTTTTATCACCTATTGACAAATGTTTGTCAAAGTTTAAAAATTAAATTTAAAAAGTGTGTAATTGCTTGAGTAACTATTAGGTCCTTATATAAAGTAAATGGCAGGAGCAAACTAAATAGTAAGTAAGAATAAAAAAAATTAAAAAGATTTAGATTTCGATAACAGTGTGCAATAAGTTTTCATCACTCGAGTTTTACCAATAAAGAGTAGAACTTCCAGCTTGTGCATCAATTGTTGCTTTCAAAAACTAGTTTCATAAGAACAAAAACCCGAAGTAATGAAATTTAGTGGTATGCGTGCGAATTTGTAAGGACGACATTTATGTACGTCTGTTTACTTGGGAACAATAACGTAGGCCTATAAAATCCAACACACCGAGTTAGTCATAATTACGACGTCACAAAATCCTTGTCTGTTAGTAAGAATAACACCAAACTCTTATAATTTATTGAGCGGTTTCGATCAAGTCTATTTAAATAGCCGCCAGAATTAATTTACCTGATATCGAAGTCGTTTGTGTTGGTGTTACTACTTTGATGGTTAGGTTTTGATGTCCATGGTTATATGAGATGTCAGCGGAGTAGGTACGTTTTACGGTAGTGTTTGGGGTACCGACCATAATGTGAACCAACCTATCAGTGATTAAAACCTTTTCGCCAACTGTTTTCTGAAAATTGAATTACACTTATTTAACCAATGTTATTGTTTAATAATACTATTTAGATATTTCTATCATTATTGTTTATTTATTATTTGTATTTGTAGTATTATCATCAGCAACGTTTGATCATCATCTTCTATCATAACATTATCAATATTGTCATCATCATTATCCTCCTCCCCCTCATCGTCGTCGTCATACGTCGTATCACGTATCATCAACATCATCTTCGTCATTATCATTTGTATTGTGAGTTTAGTATTAGATACTGTTTAACTTTGAATATCTCTTAGTTTCATTTATTAAAATCTTCTCAATTTGTGTTGATCGTTAAGCGCTTATATATAGGCGCCCAGTATTTTGCACTTTATCAAGTTTATAAATATTATTATTAATATTATTATTATTATTATTATTACCTGAAAAATAGGCCTACTAAAAGATTCAATTTCTTCTATCAATTGCCTTAATTGTCTCGAGTCAACGAATCCGAGCTCGTTTCCAAAGATTTTGAAGTACACAGATCCGTGGATCATATCTCTGCTTTGGACGCTGGACTGAAAAAACAATAAGTCGTCATACGTCGTATCACGTATCATCAACATCATCATCGTCATTATCATTTGTATTGTGAGTTTAGTATTAGATACTGTTTAACTTTGAATATCTCTTAGTTTCATTTATTAAAATCTTCTCAATTTGTGTTGATCGTTAAGCGCTTATATATAGGCGCCCAGTATTTTGCACTTTATCAAGTTTATAAATATTATTATTATTATTATTATTATTATTATTATTATTATTATTATTATTATTATTATTATTATATTATTATTATTATTATTATTATTTTTATTATTATTATTATTATTATTATTATTATTATTATTATTATTATTATTATTATTATTATTATTATTATTATCATTATTATTATTATTATAACCTGAAAAATAGGCCCACTAAAAGATTCAATTTCTTCTAACAATTGCCTTAATTGTCTCAAGTCAACGAATCCGAGCTTTTTTCCAAAGATTTTGTAGTAGACAGATCCGTGGATCATATCTCTGCTTTGGACGCTGGACTGAAAAAACAATAAACTTGATCGTTGTTTAAACGGAAACTGTGTAGAAAGTGGTTAATCTAAAACATGCTATAAATGAAATGATCGCTTTGTTGATAAAATGAGACACAGACTGAATTACCAGCATTCATGACCGAGCGAAAAAAAAAATTGAAAATGGTCACATCGTATCCAAACCAAAATTCGGACCGTGTTTTCGATGTGCTGAACACAATAGACCCTCTTTATACACAATGGGCTTATTCGACTGGTTCATTTCGTTGAGTACGAATTTTTGTTGAGTATTATTTTCATTCGACTGGTTCGTAAAATAGACTTCGTTAACGATTAAAATTAACGTAACCAGAATGCTTTAATCAGAGTTAAATTATGCACGTGACCAAAAAAAAAAAAAATATGGCCAATTGGCAACATTTGCGTTAATATAACCTAGATTAAATTTCAGAAAATAAAAATTATATTTACCCACAATTAATGAGGTCAAAAAAAATTGTAGGCTAACAGAATTCAAAAATTGGATGAAAACATTTTTTTACGAAAAACCCATACTGCCACTATCCGAAGCAGCCTTGATTACGCAGCATGTATCGCGGTAACTATGCAGCCATTTTGTTTTGTCGAGTATTTACCAGTTTCTATTCGACTGGTCGTCTTCGTTAAGTTGGATTTTGCCACTGCGCAGGTGGGCGTGATTTAACGAAGAACGACCAATCGAATACGACCATAGTTTCGACTTTCTGATCCGTTCGATAGGCTTCCTGATCCGAAATTTCGGATTCGGTGTGAATGAACCGTAATGCGTGCTTACCATAATAAACTTGATCGCATCAAAATCGTGTTGCAAAGTATATTCAAAAAGTGCTCACGTTTTATTATTATTATTATTATTATTATTATTATTATTATTATTATTATTATTATTATTATTATTATTATTATTATTATTATTATTATTATTATTATTATTATTATTATTATTATTGTTATTGTTATTGTTATTGTTATTGTTGTTATTATTATTATTATTATTATTATTGTTATTGTTATTGTTATTGTCATTGTCATTGTCATTGTCATTGTCATTGTCATTATTATTATTATTATTATTATTATTATTATTATTATTATTATTATACAGTAGTGCAGATTAAATGAAAGAGAAATTGAACGTAAATTTAACAGGAAGCAAATAATAAAGTTATGTTGTTTGAAAAAAAAATAGCACAGACCTACACTTAAGCATGGATGAATAAGTTCAAATCGGTTTGGCATTCAATTTTGTGTACTTGTTTTACATATTATTTAGCCCTATTGTCTCTCTACAAAAGAATCTCAGTCATTTGGCGATAGTTCCGAATTGTTGTAGTTGCGTAAGTGAAGTCCAATATTAATGTTGTTTGTGTTTGCTAAATCACACACTGCGTCGTGTTCAGTGAGGTGTTTATTTCTGTGTTCTTTATTTTATACTTCATTAGAAAAAAAAAATAAATAGAATGAATTAAATGATTTTCACATTAAAAGAGATTCTATAAACCATAAAAACTTGAAAAGTCATTAATACATCAACAGGCTACCATTAAAATAATTGTAATTAATTTAAAAGGGATTACACGTTTGAAACATTTAAAAAATTCAATACTAACACAATTTTACCGAAAATATAAGACATAATATATAGTAAACATTTTATACTTTTGTTGTGGCCAGAGACCACTAAAATTACGCCTTGACAAAATAAACAGAACATTCATAGTGGTAAACGAAAGAGGCTTATAATGCATTTATTATTCTACGTACCTGTTTCTTTTCATATAAGGCTTTCATGGTGTATTTCGTAAGAGACTTGTCACGTCTCTCTATATAAAGTTCGATGTCAAATATTATGGGCATTAAGAAACTTGGAGAGTGTGTCTGTTGGTAAAAGTAGGTGGAAAATAAGAAAGCTAACACTTTGTACATTTCCTATTAGTGCGTATGATTTGTTTGCAAAATCTAATACGAAAGCCGTGTAAGTCTAATCTGCAATATAAAATATATCATAGGGTCTAAAATATAAAACATGTATGATATTTACGTGATTGACTTTGCTACAGATAACAACACCGAAATATTTCTCAAAATTAGAGTTTGTACACACAACCGATGGATGAGAATGCATATCAGAGCTCTTTTGAAGTTCCATCTTCTTCTCTTTGCGAATCAAATACAGACTAGATCTAAAGATTATATAAAAAAAAAAGATTATTCAGTCCACGTGCATAAAACACATAGACAACACACAGTCAAATTATAATTGCAGTGCCGGAGATTTTGTTTTAGGTGACTGCATTTAATTAGCGAATTCTAAGTGAAATTTAGACATATAACTCACTTTACATTAATGACGCCAATTCTTCTTTCAGGTACATTTAGATTCAAGTTAAAGAGTTTGCCGTAAGTCATTACGACACTGCCCTCTAGTGATGTTGAAGTGTGAGCACAGAAAACGTGTTGTATTCCAATTCTTGTAACAAAACAATCAACTTCCATTTTTGAGCTTACTTCAATGACCGCACTAAATATGAACATATCAATCAGAACTTTAATAAGAATAACATAAAAAGGATGCATCATTTGAGAAAAGTATATAGCATAGTGATAATCTAAAAATATATTTCTCTCACCATAGCATATAATATGTACATAAACCTTTGCCTAGATAGCATTTACTTGTCCAATATTATAAGCATCATAAATATTATGTGAATACACATATAATCATAATAATATATGCAAAATGTTAATTAAATAATAACATTTTATATACCATACAATAAAAAATATAAAAATAATAAAATATAAACATGAGTATAAAAATCTGAATACAAAAATATATTAAAATAAGTAAATAATAGCATATTATACTACTGTAAATACAAAAAAAAATGAATGGCCTATTAATTACAAATAAATATTTTCCAACTGGGAATTTGTTTTCATCTGTCTCCAACCAAGTCGGAAAGGCTCGCCGATTCAATCGATCAATCATAGGCTCCAAAAGCTAGCGTGTACCAATTTTATGAAAGCCTGGCTTAATAATATATTTCAAACAATTTGCAATTCTTTTAAAGAAATAATAAATGAATGAGTATGTTATTCAGTTAAACACATTTGTTTATTATAGTGAATGAATAAAATAATGAATGGTTTTGCAATTAAAATTTTACCTTGGCTCGACTTTTCCGGATATATCTAAATTGCGTGGTTTTACAGATGTCAATTTTCCAGAAGCCCTAAGTTGTAGTAAGGCACTGCTGTTGGATGAAATCTTAATAGAAAAACCAGCACAAGATGGCACTTCACTGTGTACCTCAATTAACATATTCTTGCTGTATTCAATTGTCTTCCTATTTGCAAGCCTCATAACCAACTATCAAAAAAGCATGTGATGGTATAGAATAAACTCCGTTTAGGTTAGTGTTTAAAAATGCATTTTTATTTTTATAATGAAAAACTTAATCTAGCTTTTAACAAGAAAATCGTGATGACGTCTCCATTGGAAGAAATTGTGGTGATTAAACACTCTGGTTTAATAATTATATTGTTGTCTCAGCTTTAATAAGTCATGCAGTTTAGCTCAGTCGGCTAAAGTGGTGGTAGGCACTGTGTGTGCGCTGGACAGTAATTGGGATCTCTAGGTCCCATCGCTGCTCTAGGTCCCATCGGTTTAATTCCCATTGCTGCTCTTCTTGTGTTTTGGTTGGAGGGCTGAAAAGTTACGATAGCACACCGTCTTTCGTTGGTCTCGTGTACATTATAGCCAGTGTGCACGTATTAAGAACGCAGTGCACTCTTTTGAAAGGAGTAGGTGATTACTGCCCAATCACCACCAGAAGGCCCCCACTGCAAATAAGTCTTCTTCTAACTTTCGTGCATGCTTGCAGACCTCTTCCCTACCCTTTGTATTTGCATTTACTTCATCACAAACCCACAATTGAGAAATTCAAAAAGGCATTAGTTCTGCAAAATTACAAAAATGAAATATCTAATTCTATTGAAAGAAAATAAATAACTGTATATATATTCTTTCCTTTTCTATGAAAGGCAAGAAAAGAAACAAATAGAAAGGAGGAATGAAATGAAAGTAAAGGGAAAGAAAAAGGAGAGAGAGGAGAGGAAAATGAAAGTGGAGTAGGAGAAGGAAAAAAATAAATCAGGAAATGGAAAAGGAAAATGAAATAAAAGAAAAGATAAAATGGAAGGAAAATGAAAGGAAAAATAAAATAAGAAAACGGAAAAAAAGACGAAGAAAAGTAAACAAATGAAAGGAGAAGAAAAGAGACGGAAAAATATAGGAATTGAAGGAAAAGAATTAGATTGAAAAAAGAAAGGAAAAGAGAAAGGAAAGAAAAGAAGAAAAAATGGAAAAGAAACAGGAACAGAAAAAAAGGAAAGGACAAAGAGAAGGAAAAGATAAGGTTATAAAAAACAAATAAAAAAGCAAAAGAGATTATATAAAAATGGAAGAAAATGAAAGAATTAAAACAATGGTAATATAGAATCGAAGAATACAAGAGAAGGAAAGGAAGGAGAAAGGTAAGCATAATTTTAAGGAAATATAGAAAATGAAAGAAATGAAAAGGAAACAGGAAAGGAGGGGTGAAATATATTAAAGTAATTGTAAAGAATATTAAATTACACAATAAGAATAGTCACTTACCTATTTGAATTATTATTAATATCATCATCATCATCATCATCATCATCATCATCATCATTATCATTATTATTATTATTATTATTATTATTATTTTTATTATTATTATTATTATTATTATTATTATTATTATTATTATTATTATTATTGTTACCTGAACAATACTAAAAGATTCAATTTCTTCTATCAATTGCCTTAATTGTCTCGAGTCAACGAATCCGAGCTCGTTTCCAAAGATTTTGAAGTACACAGATCCGTGGATCATATCTCTGCTTTTGACGTTGGACTGAAAAAAAACAATAAACTTGATCGTTGTTTAAACGGAAATTGTGTAGAAAGTGGTTGTGTTACTCTAAAACATGCTATAAATGAAATGATCGCTTTGTTTATAAAATGAGACACAGACTGGATTACCAGCATTCATAATTCATAAAAAAAAAAAAGAAAATGGTCACATCGTATCCGAAACAAAATTCGGACCGTGTTTTCGATGTTCTGAACACAATAGACCCTCTTTTACATATTAGGCTTATTCGACTGGTTCATTTCGTTGAGTACGAATTTTCGTTGAGTATTATTTTCATTCGACTGGTTCTTAAAATAGACTTCGTTAACAACAAAAATTAACGTAACCAGAATGCGTTAATCAGCCAAAAAAAAATATGGCCGATTGGTAAGTTTAGCAACAACATTTCCGTTAATATAATGTAGATTATATTTCAGAAAATAAAAATTATATTTACCCACAATTAATTAAGTCAAAAAATAATTGTAGGCTAACAGAATTCAAAAACTGGATGAAAACATTTTTTTTTACGAAAATCCCATACTGCCACTATCCGAAGCAGCCTTTTGATTACGCAACGTATATCGCGGTAACTATGCAGCCATTTTGTTTTGTCGAGTATTTACCAGTTTTCTATTCGACTGGTCGTCTTTGTTAAGTTGGATTTTACCACTGCTCCGGTGGGCGTGGTTTAACGAAGAACGACTGGTACCAGTCGAATACGACCATAGCTTCGACTTTCTGATCCGTTCGGTATTCTTCCTGATCCGAAATTTTGGATTCGGTGTGAATGAGCCTTAATGCGTGCTTACCATAATAAACTTGATCGCATCAAAATCGTGTTGTAAGGTATATTCAAAAAGTGCTCACGTTTTTTAGCAATTTATCGAATGTACCATTCCTAATGGTGGCACGTCTTTGGTGTTTCTTTGGCCTCGTTATGAGATCCATAAGAACTTCGGGTTTGAAGAAACTATTAGGTCCAACCAGTGGCTCAAGTAAGTAATCAGTGCCTTCAATAAGACCACCAATCTCGAAAAGGTCGATTGAGAATCCAAATAGATTAAGTCTGGAAGCTACTGAAACTCGGCGGGGAATGATGGACGTCGATGAGAAGACAACATCAGTTTCAATAGTAACACTTTTATCAGTAGATTCTTGAAATATAAAATTGATTGGTATTTAAGAGACTGCTATCGGAGGTGTGTTTTTAATCTACTACACTGCTACTACTCAAATGAAACAAAATGTGTACTTATATACTGTACATAACGTTAATATTAGGCCTAAAACTTGGCAACAATAATTTTGTTCAACAAGACCAATAACAAGACTGCATTAAAAAAATCTATAGCAACGTGTACATTATTGATTTCAACTTTGTCATACAATTTTCACTGTAAATAAATAATTATCATCAATAATACTGTAATCTCATTTTACCAACCAGTGAAATAGGACGATTCAATATTGCGGGAGAATTTTCTGGGGTCCTCTTGAAATTCTTTAAATAATTCACTTTTCCGTAGAATTTCTCGGTGTTCCTGATTTTTTGGATCTGAACTGTAATTCAAAGTCTTCACGAAACTCCACACGTAAGAACCAACTGAAAGAACAAGTTTCGTCTTATAATGTACGGTATTATATGTATAATGATAAATAAAAAAAATATATTTAATTCATTCTAAAATTGGAATTATTGTTTGATAACTGAAATCATAATGTTAGGACCATTAAATTTACATTCTATAACATGTCATGATGAATTTGTTCCATTACATAACTAGAACCTAGATTGTAGGGCATCAAACAGTTCACCATCTAATTTGTGGTTTCACTTGCCTTTGGATGCGGACGAACTTGGACAAAAAAAAATACCTCAATGGAGTTTCAGAACGAATTTCAAGGCAAAGGTTGGATTTGTTCACTTTTATAATACGTTTACCTTTTTGTGATTATAAACTTACCAATAATCTAATTACAAAATTTTAGTCACTGATTTTACAAAGCGAATGGAAGATATACCTTGATCGGACGTCTCTACTGCCAATTGTCGTATTATTCTTTCCACCTTGTCGGCATCTAGACATTTCATGGCTCCACGGAATGCCTTAATTCTAATAACAATATCTTCGCTCGTATTTTCATACAAGTCGAATAAGCTGTCACGCTATAGTAGTTGGTATATTTAAGAAAATATACGTATATAATTATAAAAAAATACATATTTGAATCTTCATACATTAAATTGTTATACTGTCTATATAAACCTGTTATTAAGGTTTAAGGTTTATGTCGAAATAAGTGTATATTCACAAAATAATGTGCTGTAAATGTGGTTGTTCACTTACGTTTTCTTTTCCACATGAAAGGCGACGGAATGCTTCCACAGATGCAATACGAACATCGATTTGGTTAGATTTTCTTTTAAAGCATCGATCAAGAGTTGGAATAATAGAAAAGGCCTGTCCCGAATTACCAAGGGCTTTTAATGCCAGCAACACCTACACAAAATGTAAAAATAAATTATTAAATCAAATTTGGTTTCATTAAACTTGTATGTATGATAACTTGTATATCAACAACTGCAGAATAACGGAAAATACATCTTTGGCCTATCTTATGACAAAAGATTAAAAAAAAAACCAGAATAATTTTATTACAATATAAAATAAATGTATTTTTCATACCTTCAAAAACAAATTAAAATAAGGTCAGGTATATTTAAAGGTCAAAATCGTAAAGACGAAATTGTATAGTATGTCTATATAAGATAACATGCAGCAATGTACACATCGGGGACACAGATAGGACACATAGGTATCACATACTGTAAAACCTCAAATTGAAGCCCTGCGATTTCTTAGGCTACTTTTGCAAACTAAGAGGAGGGCTTTAATTCGAGATGGGCTTCATCTCAAGATTGAGACCATTGGGCTTCTATTCGAGTTTTTACGGTATTCAAATGACACTCGTATGTCTATTACTTTTCCTAGTAAAATGAAAATTGCAAAAGTTTATTCCCAGCTGTAAGAAGGAGGATCAAGGAAATACGAGCAACTACCCAACACAATTCTTAATTATACTGAAAAGGTCACAACTGCCCTCGATAAAAAGTTACACACGGTTGTTGTATATCTGGAATACTCCATACTCCGTTGACATTGTTGACCATGGGGAACTTTTAGAACAAATTGTAAGACCCTGGAGTGGTCCAGAGTCTGTCTAAACGGTTAGGTTGCATGTAGTATGTGTCCTTTAAACGGATTGAATCTCACAAAGAAGTTGTTTTCAGACGACTTGCCCAACGAGAACGTAAGTGGTCGTTGTCCGGAGTGGCTCAATACCCCGGAAACTATTACAACTTAGGTATTTCAAAGGCTTATTTTAAACAGCTTAGAGCCTAATAATATTTAGATAAATATATGTTTTCTTCCCGACGAAGTGTGTCGTTTCTCCTGACCTGGGGAGGGGTGGAGGCGTGGGAGGGGAATACTAATATAATACTACTATTAGATAATATAACACGATGCAGAACATATTTTGTCCATAATTCAACTTATTTTTACAACTCAACTGCCCAGAGGTAATTTGTATATTGTTCTGTATATCTTTTTATAACAGTCTTTTATGTAGGCCTATATTATTTGTTTAAAGTGCAATCCTGTATTTTTATTTATTGCATGTTGTATTATTTATACACTGTATCAAGGATTCCAAATTTCATGTTCACCTTGTTTTGTGGTCATGACAATCTTATCTTATCTTTATCTTATAAAACCATACACACTCGTAATGGGATTAGGAAAACCATCATTTCCTAGTTTACAATTGCTTCGCAAGTGTTTTCAGATGTTTGTCACTTACTGGTTCCCTTTATTAACTTAACCCTGTTTCATTGGTTAGTTAAGTTATCTTATTTCTTATTAATAGTCAGTTTAGACACCCCTTTTTATATTCCTGTTTTTGTTTTTAATTTTTGGAAAATATTACTGTACTTGTTATACAAATTATGAAACAAAATTGGATGATTACAATAATGAAAAACATGTCATATTGAAAATGACATAAAATACATACGATAATTATCAATTGAATAATAATAGTATGCCTATTTTACGTACCGTTAACTTTTGGTCGTCACTGACTGTGTGACAATCAGCACCTAGTGCTTGTCCAAAGAAATCGAGTGCCCTTCTTATTTGATACAAATCCATACAGTTGTTATTCTCATTGCATAATTGATGAATCATGACAGAGAGAGGAAGGTATAATATTTTACTCAAGGATTCACGCTCTGTAAACAAGTTCTAAATAGATAAAAAACATCAAATGATCACTCGACTATATCGGTCAGTCAATCAGTAAGGCAATGAGTCTGTCTTTCAGTGAAGCCAAAACTAAACAATATAATATGTCTTACAAACAAGTTAAAAGAGGGAGGTATAATAATTACCGCTCTATAATAAGTTATGAATAGAGGGAAAAAATCAAATGACCCATCGACTAGATCGGTCAGACAGTCAGTCAGTCAATCAGTCAGTCTGTCAATAAAGACATACCTTAAAATAAATATCTTACAAACAAGTTGGCAATTAAATAAAAAAAATTGACTATAACTCCATTTCTACACTATGTATCATATCAAAATATACCGTAATATCATTGATCATATCAGCAGTTGGATGACGCAAGAATGCAAAAGACATAACCCATGCATCGATCAATTTTGGTTCCACACTTCTAGTTTTAATAAGGTTGGTCATTACACCGACGCACGCCGTGGTTTCGCAGAGTGGAAGTGAATCTAATACAAAGTTCCTACAAGATAAAGATTTAAGTATTTATTATTTATAACTTATTTTATATTTCAGTAATATATCCTATATTACGATACAATAACAGAGTATAATATATTGTTTTTAAAATGGTCCTAAGATAAGATAAGATACA